CTTTCCCCTTGCTCTGGTGATGATCTGTGCATGTAAAACCCATTTCTAGGCACATCTGAAATAAATGGGCATCTTTCCATTGACCTCAGCAGGTTTTTGGTGCAGTTACAGGATGAGAAGGAAAAAGCAATGAGATTATCTGCCAAAAAAATAGGTTCCTTATTTATCTCATTGATTATATATTGGTGGCCAGAACAACTTTTGCATGATGCTCTCGTGGGTAGAAAAAAACAACTGCATTCAGTCGTCGGAGGTAGACTGTTTCTGGAATACATGGGGTGGAGGTACTGCCCTAGGGTGTAGTAAATACTCAATTAAGATCATAGTATCGTAGTAGCTAGGGTCAGGAGTGACCTGAACAGATCATCTAGCCTGACCCCCTGCCACAGGCAGGAATGAATGCTGGGTTCACAAGACCCCAGACAGGAGATCGTCCAACCTCCTCTTGAATTTGCCCAAGGTAGGGGCGAGGACCACTTCCCTGGGAAGCTGGTTCCAGATTTTGGCCACCCTAACTGTAAAATATTGCCTTCTGATCTCCAACCTAAACCTATTCTCCATCAGCTCATTACCATTGTTCCTTGTCACCCCAGGTGGTGCTGGGGAGAAAAAGGCTCTGCCTATTTGCTGTTGATCTCCCCTAATGAGTTTGTAGGCAGCGACCAGGTCCCCAAGATGATGGAGGACAACACTTTAACAACATTGGGAATATGATTCCCACATTTACCACATTACCTTTCTTCCTAGAGCTGATTGCCCATCAGAAAGGACAGATTGAAAAACAGCCACCCTATGAGATCTACTTCTGTTTTGGGGAAGAATGGCCTGATGGAAAGCCTAGAGAGAGAAAGCTGATTGTGGTGCAGGTAAGAGCAACTGCCTCGCACAAACATGCCAGGGCACATGTGGAACAAGCAGCCAAATCCAGGGTAGGCTTTTTTGTTTCAGCAGGTTTTTCTCCATTTCAGCACAAGTGATAGTGAGAAACCTGAACTGAAAATTGGCAGAGATATTTTTGGCGTTGAAACCCAAGTGCAATGGAATCAGCTTTCGCTGAAATGGGATAAACCACAGCTTAGCGTTTAGTGAACTTGTTCTGCAGATCGCTTCTCCAACACGGGAGATGCCCAGCGTACTTGAGTACTCTGCAAATGTACTGTGCTGCTGGGACTATAATCCTAATTAAGCTAAAATAACCAAGGTTTCTTTTTTAAACAGGTCATTCCAGTTGTAGCTCGGATGATTTACGAAATGTTTTCAGGCGACTTCACACGTTCCTTCGACAGCGGCAGCGTGCGGCTTCAGATCTCCACACCAGATATTAAAGACAACATCGTTGCCCATTTGAAACAGCTGTACCGCCTCCTGCAGACCCACCAAGATACCTGGTCAATGCCGGCACCAAATATGCAGATGACTCAACCGCTCCCAGCACAATGACACATTTGATTTTTGGCTTATATCTGGCTTTACTCTCTGGTTTCTTATCTGTACATATCAAAGGATAGACTTAATTCGTGCCTTGCCTGTATTAAAATGAAACCTGTGAAAAATCCTGTATGCAGATGGCCAGTTTTCAACACTAGATAGAATTAACTTCTTAGAAGTCTAAATTGAAAATCTTTAGACACAACATCTTTAGTTAATGTTTCTCTCTTCCTCATCTCTCAGTAGGTTGCTTATGCAGTCTGCTATGCATGTATCTCAGGTTTTCACTTTGTAATATTTAATTGAAACTCCCATACTGATGGACTGTGTATAAATACTAGATCAATGTAAAACAATTTTAATTCTCTTGAATGTCAATGTATTTTCGTATGCTTTTCATTAAACTGCTTTTGAGAAATAAAATAAGAAAGAACAATCACAAATAGTGATTTTTCTATAGTTGTTAGTGCATTACTGGTGCTTTCTTTGTTTACTATCATGCTTTATCATGCTTTACTATCATGCTTTACTATCATGCTATATATAGCACTATCATGCTTTAAAGACACTATTTCTTTAAACCCAACTGATTACTCAGCGTTGAACTAAAAATGAAAACTTGAAGCTGAATATTACAATTGCTATAGTGCAGTAATGCAGTTCTGTAAAGGTAAAATCTGGGCCATAGTCATGGCCTTTAAGTGTTGATATATAAGGTCTTTTAAGCCAGTGTTTCAAAGGAGTCAGTGCTATAAACTTCCCTTTATCTGAAGGGCAGAAACATGCAGTGTGCTCTAGGCAATTAGTAATAAAAAGTTATTTCACTACCTGCCTGCAGCTGTGCTCCACACCCAAATACTTCAGTTTTTTTCTAAAGGAAGCTGCTCTCTAACTATTACCTGTTCTCCCTTTACTTAGCTGTTTTAGGTGAGCGTTCAGCAATCCTGAAGCATTGCATTGTGCATCTGCTTGTCCATGGCTGCTTAAGAGTACGTGCTCTTTCATGTCTGAATGTCAGATTATGACGCAATTATAAATCTGTCTGGGGGAGTGGGAACCGTGTAGGATGTGCCAGAGCTGGAGTTCCCGTAAATCACGTGTTGGCAGGTCTGTTTTCTAATAGGTGTTATTTGGGCACATGATCACAGAGCACACAAACCAGAAATGCAGAAACTTTTTCTGACCAGGTTTTCAGTTAGGAAAGTTGAACTTTAAAGAAAATGTTGGGAAGAAAGGAATGATGGTCTTTGTGCTGCCAATAGGAATTCCCAACGTGCATATTGAATGTGTGTGTTTGCACGCCTCATGAGATGGTTATGCTGGGTTGTTTAACAAATGACAGTTTCCCTGAACCCTACACATTGCAGCCTATTTTAATTACCTCTTCTTTAAACATTTTAAATCTACTTCAAATTAAAAAAAAATGTGGGTCTCATCAGGGTAAAACGCTGCATGGGGGACAGTAGTGAGAAGGGTGTGTGAAGGATTATAAAACTTAACTTCGACTTGTTTCACAACAGTGCAGAGCTATCAGAAGAAAAAGTCTAGGTCAGGAGGGAGTAGTTCCTTGATGGAAACCAGCAATTTTGAACTGTTCAGAAAGACTAGGTAAATTTGCTTAGCTTTTGGGAAAGATACATCCATGCTGTTTTAATGCCATCTGATAATGCAGTGGCTATGGCTCTTAAGAGTTACTGACTGGATATATATCAATGTGATGGTTTTCTTTCTCTAGACATGTAGAGAAAAGACTGATCAGTTGAGGAAATCCCACATTAAAAATCCCACTCCTCTTTGAGCAGAGGAGTAGCTTTTTAAACAAGATGCCTCTGTTCTTTGATTTTTAAAATATTGTAGCTCAGTTAATTATGACCATGCTACAAAAGCATATAAACTGCTTTGCCCTTCTTTGGGATAGTAAAACTTAGATGCTTGTGGTTGAACCACTAGTCAAGGAAGCAAACATGTTCATGCTGTTCTAAAACAAGGATAACCTTTCACCAACTTTACTTGCAATATTTACTGCATGCTAACTGCAAAGCACTTCCTTTACCCAGAGCTGATGAGTACCCAACCCTTGCTGGGGGCAAAGTATAGGGAGCCAGTTTTCTCTGCCCCGTGGAGGGGCCTGGAGGCCAGGGGTGGTTTCCTGTCTGACCTCAGAGCACCCCTGGTTGGCTATTTGGGCAGTGCAGTCCTGGACCTGTGATGCATCAGGTGACTGGCTCCTGCATAATCACCTCTGGTGCATAAAAAAAATAAATCCCTTTTGCGAGAGAACCTAGTGCCCAAGAGCCTTGCTTGGGGATTTACCTGCTGCCACTTCAGTGCTTGCAAGGACTCTTAGAAGCTAATGCGGGCACCCCTCCTGCAGCCTGCCACACGGCTTGGGGCTGCACATAGAATCGGAAAAAATGAGGGTGGAAAACTACCTCAGGAGGTCACATCTAGTCCAACCCCCTGTTCGAAGCAGGACCAGCCCCAACTAAGATCATCCTAGCCAAGGCTTTGTCTAGCCACATCTAATAAGGCTGTGTGAAATTTGGCCGGGTGTTTGGTTTCGACGCCGTTTAGATTCATTTCGGGCCTGAAACAGCGAAATTGAAGTGAAACGAAAGGTTTTGAAATGGCCTCAAAACGAAATGAGGGCAGTCAAAACATTTTGAAAGTTTTGAGTTTCAAAGCTGGGCTTGCCTGTAGGGAACAGAAACTAAGGAGAGGGAGGGGGAAGAGCAGGGGAGGACTGCTTGTATATTGACTGTGTAGCTGGCCAGTGACTGTGATCCTTCCCTGAGGTCCCTTCCAACCCCAGTGCTCTGGGGGAGGGACAGAAAAACAACATAAAAAGCAGCATTGTTTGATCTGAGCTGTCTGTGTGCCTTGGGGTCAGTTACTGAGCTGTGTCTTCCAGCAGCTCCGCAGCATAAGAGGGAAGCTATCGCTTCCTACTTGCTAGCCTGTTACTAGCAAGTGGGATTCAATACCTTTTGCTTTCTGTGCCCTTTTATTATTATATTCATTCATTCCTTTCAATTTATTCCTCCCAAAAAATCCTCTTTTTGTTTTTGTTAATCTATTTTGATTCTTTTCCACTGGAGGAGGGGCCCCATTCCCAGCTACAGCAGGGAAATAAAAGTGAAAGCCAGGGTTTTAAACTGGGCGGAAACATGCCTTTCACTTCCCTGCTGATGAGGATCCTGGGGCCCTGAATTGATAGGGGCCCCTGTGCCCGTGCCCAGCTGGCTCATGCATTAATCCACCTAAGCTTCCCAGAGGTGAAAATCTCATTAAAGAACTGTCTTTGGAGTATAAACTTCCTTGGAAGATTGTGCACACCTGTGCTGGTTATTTTGATGGCCCTGAACTTCTCTGCATACAGGAGTTATCTGCAGCAGTGGACTCCTGTACAAAGTTTTAAGTATAACTCCAGCTTCAGCCTGTAAAGGTTTGGCCCTAGCTGTGAAATATTTTGTGAATTTAAAGAATCTGTGTTTCTTTGACAGGCCCCGGGGGCTGCATAGTTAAAATCTGATCTAAAAAATAGCCAGACTTCCAATGAGAAACAAAGCCAGGTGTTTAGTCTGCATCTTTATTGCTCTACAAGTTAATTCTTAACTCCGCATGGTTTGGGGTTTGTTTTTTTTTAGTGTATTTGGATGCTAAGCAACTAGGAACAAAAGTGGGAGATGATTTAATTTTCAGAGGGCTCTGTCATGGATGGGAATTGATAATATTAAAAAATATATATAACTGGATGTGTTAAACAAAAACTGGGCAACGGATATAACCATACAACCATATATAACAAACAGAACTAAAATTGACAGCAGCTAGGAATATATAACCTGTTGTGAACACGTGACATTTCCATATGCTCTATGCATGAAGGCTGCACATGAAGTTACCACTTAACCTCCTCATTATATTAGAAACATAACAGGCTTCTAGCATCTGGGTTACAAATTTTGCTGACCTTTTCATATCATCTCTGAGCATGCTGTTCCTCACACTGGGTTTGTAGCAGGTCTGGGAACAGAACAAGCCACTATTATTACCCAAAATCTAACACATCCATTTAATCTGAGGCATTGCCTCTTCCTTTTCTAAACTGCACTTTCTCCTATCTCAACGCCCCTCATAAGTGGCCTTTCAATGATAGCTAGGAATCTAGATGGAAACTAAAGTTTCTAACTAGCTATGAGCAGGTTCCCTAGACTAGCGGTTTGGTTTGGTTTGGTTTGGTTTGATTCACTTCACTTCACTTATATAATTCCCAGGAAAATCGTGCCCAAATTCCTCCATAGGATGGAACCCTGCTGAAAACAGTGGGGTTGCATGCCTGTATCCCAAGGCAGCTGGACTTGGGTCTCCTGATGCTGGTCATGCTGTTAGAAGAGTTAACTTTCAAATAACTGGTGTGAAGGTGCCACTCTGAATGGAAAAGTCTAATGTGCATCTAACAGACCCCGACAGGGCTGCCTTGTTGCACAGATGGGGTAGAGCAACAGCATCAACTGTACCAGGATGCAAGTGTTGCACAGGTGTCAGTGAGACCAGGGTCAGACCCAGTGCACTGGAAATGTTGACCTTCAGCCCCCACATCAGCGGTACTTACTATGCAGGCAACTGAGGGTTTTCTCCAATGTCAGCCTCTGGGTTTATTCATTTTTCAGCTTATCAGGACTTAACAAAGGATTAATCAATAATAGTTGGCCACAGATGATGAAAAATCTCTCAGTATTCCTGCGCGAGTGTGGCTGGGGTTCTTT